CCCTACTGGGGATGTGCCCGCAACCAAGGTACATGCCCTTGACTGGACTCGAACCTGGGACTCTCCAGTCCACAGGCTGATGCTCTATCCACTGAGCCAAACCAGTCAGGGCTGAAACATTTTTTTTTATAGACGCTGGTGGCATGTGGGGAAGTTCCGTCGCTTGCGCCTACAGACGCTTATGGCGTACAATTGGTTAAAATTCTCACCTGTGGACATGCTTAGAGGAACTGGGGGGGCGGGGGCGGGGGGCTGGGTGCGGTGACAGGAAGAGAGAAAGAGAGAAACTGATTGCTCGCCTTCTGCTCTTGCCCTGACTGGGGATTGAACCCACAACCCAGGTATGTGCTCTGACTGGGAATCAACAGGTAACCATTCAGTGCACAGGACGACACTCAAACCAACAGAGCCACTCCAGCCAGGCTGCCCCCTTTTTTAAATAGAAGATTTATTTATTTTTATGTGGTCACTTGATTTTATTATTTAGGTTTATTTCCATTCATGCTTAAAGTGCCCTCCAGATTGAATTGACACTATTTTTTTGTGTGGTACAATTTGATTTTTTTATTTTACTTTTTAATCTATAATTAATGCTAGTATTTGGTGTGAGGTGAGGATCTAGATAGATTTTCTTTTCCAAATAACCAGTCAGTTGTCCCAAGCATCCCATTGAATAATCTTTTGCTAAACTCACTGACTTAAGGTGCTAGTTATTTTTTTTAATCCTCACCCGAGGATATTTTTTCTATTGATTTTTGTTTTTAGAGAGAGGGGAAGGGAGAGAGGAGAGGGAGAGGGAAAGAGAAACATTGATGTGAGAGAGACCCATTGATTGGTTGCCTCCCACATGTGCCCCAAAAGGGGCTGGGGACAACTCTGCAACCAAGGTACTGCCCTTGGCTGGTGGACACTCTAACTGCTGAGTCAAACTGGCCAATGCTTAAGGTGCTAGTTTTTAAGGAGGCTTTTAAGTATGAACTGGATTACCTCCTTACAGAAATGAATAGGGCCTATTTAAGAATTAGAAGAGGTTATTTTCATAATTTTTTAGGGTCTGTTTTGGTCCTTACACATACTATGAATAATTTTCATTATCTACTACCTATAGATATTAATTGATCAGTGTTGTTGATTGAAAAGTAAGTTTGTAATGATCATAATTAAATATGAAGTTATTAACCTTTGAATAGCTGCTTTATCCTCCTATATAATAAAAGGCTAATATGCAAATTGTCCCCTTGACCAGGAGTTTGGAGGGAGGGGGCGGGGGGCAGGGCCGGCCAGCCAAAGGCCTGCAGCCCTCTCCCCGGCTGGCCCCATCCTGATGGCCTGGATTGGGGTGGGCCAGCTGGACCCTACCTGTGCACGAATTTGTGCACCGGACCTCTAGTAGGTAAATAAAATGAGTAAGTTGTGATTCACTAAATTCCAAGAAGGCATTTTTCTGAGAAGTCGATCTTTGGGCTCAGAAAGCATTTTCCTGAATATTTAATTCATTCTGCCTTTTTTTTTTTTAAAAAAAGATCAGCATTTTTATTTTTAAAAATATATTTTATTGATTTTTTACAGAGAGGAAGGGAGAGAGATAGAGAGTTAGAAACATCGATGAGAGAGAAATGTCGATCAGCTGCCTCCTGCACACCCCCTACTGGGGATGTGCCCGCAACCAAGGTACATGCCCTTGACCGGAATCGAACCTGGGACCCTTCAGTCCGCAGGCTGACGCTCTATCCACCGAGCTAAACTGGCTAGGGCTCATTCTGCTTTTTAACATGCTGGCTAACTCACTTTAGGGAGGGAAAGAAAGTGCATGTCCTTTTGCCATCAGAAGCACAGGCTTTAACATGAACATTTTGACAACTTGTATAGGTTTCGGGCTCGATCCCCAGTGCGGGGCGTGCAGGGGGCTTCTCATCAGTGATTCTCTCTCATCTTTGATGTTTATGTCTCTCCCTCCCCCTCTCTAAAATCAATAAAAACATATTTTTAAAAGTAAACAAAACATGTTGCTTTTTATAAAAGTTTTTTTAAAAATTATGTTTTTTTATTGATTTCAGAGAGAGGAAGGGAGAGGGAGAGATAGAAACATCAATGATGAGAGAGAATCATTGATTGGCCACCTTGTGCATGCTCCCCACTGGGGATCGAGCCTCAATCCCGGGCAGGTGCCCCTGACTGGGAATCAACCTGGAATCCAGCTGTGACCTCCTGGTTTATAGGTTGATGCTCAACCACTGAGCCATACTAGCTGGGCAAAAGTTTTATTTCTTTAGGAAAATGACATTGGAAAATTTTAGAGTTAGTTTTAAAACATTGTTACCTTTTCTTGGCATTCAGTGTTCCAAATGACCTATGTTAGTGATACATTATATTACCTGGTGCTGTGGGAAAGAAGGGGTTAATAAGTGTGAAACTTATTTTTTTAAATTTGTAAATACAGTAGTTTTAAACGTCATATAACCTTACTCTTTTACAATCTCCAGAAGAAAATAAACTATTGATGAGTGTATTCTTTTAGCATATTTATGAGTGTATTCTTTTAGTATATTTATTAGACAAATGTCAACAGGACTTTGAAAAGGTTTCATTTTATGAAAGATAGGATTGGAGGAAATCCAAGTTAATATTGGATTAAATCCTAGTAAGAAATTGATGGATGGGGTTCAGGACATGTTACTCTAAAATATAGTACCTTGGCACATTGAATATTTTAAGCTGAGGGAGTTTGAGAAAACAGCAGAAGCAGGAAGGTCACTGGAACCTCTCTTACTTTGCCCTTCTTCCCTGAAACAGGCCATAAAATCCTTATGTGAGCCCC